AATGGAAAAAATGTTTAGTCCAAGGAGCGATTGTTTCCAGAGGTGAATGATGTTCTGACTGAGCTCAGACACGTTGTTTATATAGCATTGTAGTTTAATTTTTATCGAGTAAGACGAATAATGAGACCATGAGTCTGAAGAAAATATGGGTGGCCTAACGGAATTCGATAGACCTTTTATATAATCTTATTTTACTGCAAGAGACCTAATTGGATTCAGTTAAAAGCATAAAAAACATGCAAATGATGTAGTCTTGCCACGGCCTTCTCACAAGCCATTCAGTCAAGGATTTCAAATGAAACGCTGTAAAAGGTACTTACCAGTTATGTACACCCTTTCAGGAACTATTCGAGAGATTTCACTCGGTGAACGAAATTATTCGGCAGGCGAGGAACAAAGGACAGCGGGTAATGACGCTTTAAAATAAACTCAGCATAGACCCTTTTTTTCAGGTGTTAATTTACTCCAAAGACAATTTGGCCGCATGTCAGGCGTTTGCGTTAGCCTACAACATGTATTACTATAATCTCAACTTGCAAAGAGCACTTGATAATTTTGCACGCTTAAAAGTGAATGTTGAACTTAGCGATTTTCTGAGATCTGCCTTAGTAAATTGGGCTTCACTCTGCGAAGAAGAAAAGAAGGTAAGATCTCATTGATTGAAAGGATTTGAAGTTCTGTTCAATTACTGGAAACTAGAAATAGTAAGAAATAAACTTTTCTAATAATGTTTTACAGGCACGAGAGGCAAGCTCATCACGTCGAACTGATTGGCAAGAGGCGAGACCAGCTACGGTAGATTGCGGCGTAAAAAGGGTAGCTTGGCAATAGTTCAGATACAAAAGCGCTCGTATGTGACTTATCAGAGTTCGATTGATAGATGCTAAGGTGGACAAATATCGCCCAAACGATAATTTTGGAAGAGTATAACATTGAATGATATGACCAACATCGCTTTCATTTTGTTGTAAAGTCAAATTGGCTCAATTGCAATTATTTTGCACTTTTTAACTTATATAT